GACAGCCACAAACCCCAGGGGAGGGGCACAGAGGGCTCTGCAGTGGGGCAGGAGCAGGAACTGAGGTCTCGTTGACAATGCCTGGTGGTGGCTGTCTGCAGTTCTGTGCTGAGGCCCGAGGCCCTGTCCAGGTTCAGTGGAAAAGGTACATAGGTTGATTACTGACGTGAGCCATGGGCAAGGGGAGTAGGCTGCGGGGGCATCTGCTCTCTGCCAGCCTAGACCACACATTGGAGCTACTGGTCTTGTCTCTGTCTCAGTGCTGAGCCCCAAATAGGTCAGCGTGGTAGAGATGGTGGAGGGAACTGGAAGCCCACAGGATTCTTTGCTCCTCTGGGAGTCATACCTCTTTCCTAGGCAGGAAACGGGACAGGCCCAGGGCAAGGGAACATACATGACATTTTTTAAAAAGTGGCCAGGCACGGTGGCTCACGCCTGTAATCCCAGCACTTTGGGAGGCCAGGCGGACGGATCACTTGAGGTCAGGAATTCAAGACCAGCGTGGCCAATATGGTAAAACCCTGTCTCTACTAAAAATACAAAAATGAGCCGGGCATGGTGGCGGGCTCCTGTAATTCCAGCTACTCAGGAGGCTGAGGCACGAGAATTGCTTGAACCTGGGAGGCAGAGGTTGCAGTGAGCCGGGATTGCACCACTGTATCCCAGCCTGGGCAACAGAGTGAGACTCCGTCTCCAAAAAAAAAAAAAAAAAATCCCCAGTGGCTTTGTGGAGATGTCCAGCTTATTCTTTTTCTAATATGCTAACTGCACCCTGGACCAAATGAGAAGAATCCCAGAACACACTGCTGAGAACATGAGCGTGTCCAATTATGCCCAGAAATGGCCAGTATTGTACCTGGGAAGGGGCAGAGCCCTTCTCCCCACACCTAAACCCTCTGGTGAATGGAGAAAAGCTCGGGTCAGCCAACCTCAGACCATCCAGGGCCAGCCACAGTCTGACAGGTCCTAAGATAGGACTTCTGTGCTGACTCCAAACAGTGCAGTCAGCACGGGCTCTGAAGCTGCTGTGTGCCTTAGGCCACAAAAGTGTTGAACAGGGTGACAGCCACAAACCCCAGGGGAGGGGCACAGAGGGACACAGAAAGGACCAGAAGCAGCCTGACAGGAAGTAGGCACAGAGAGTGAGGGCCCCTGACACTCCTGCTTGAGCTGTGACAGCATTTAAGGGTTTTCTGCCTCTGCAGGGCCCGATCCGGATGAGAAGGGCGGCTGCAGCAGGGCCGGGTGGGTGGTTGGGCTCAGTGGCAGCCGCAGGCCTTGACCACCATGTTGCGGTGCTTGCGCAGGATGACGTTGTTGCTGCTGTCATAGTAGAGCACAGAGGTGGCGCTTAGCTTGGTGGGCGCGCAGCATGCCTTGGGGACCGCGTCTGGCTTCATCAGGTGCACCTGGCCAGGGAGGGGGGTACAGGCAGGGACATAGCCTCCTCCAAGGACCCACCCAGTCCTGCCCCAGCTCCACCTGCTCCCCGCCCTGGCCATCTCCAAGCCACATGGGAGCAGCACAATAATAAGAAATATTAACAGGAATAAGAGCAGCCTTGAGGGCTCTGGGGGCAGGAGCCGTAGTGACCTGCAGTGCCCAGGGAGGGACACATGGCAGCCCCGGGGGGTGGGGCAAGTGGGCAGAGCACTAATGAGGGGCCTCAAGTCCCAGGCCAAGGGCTTAGACTTCCTCCTGGGGATAATGGGAAGGAGAACCTCATGGCCAGGTTTGTGCCTTAGTGAGGTCCCCAAAGGGGAGCCTGGAAGGACCACTTTCTTCTTTTGGCCCTTCGGACCCCCAGAGGCTCTGCCTCCCCACACCTCAGCCTCCCTCCCCAGGCTCTGGGAGGCCAAGCCTTAGCCCCTCTCCTGTGCTGCTCCTTCCCCCAGAGACCCGCATCCGCCCTCAGCACTTCAGGGCCCTGCATGTGCCTGCACCTCTCTACTCCCCGGGCTCAGCTTGGACCTCTCTTCTGAACATCAGACTTGCGGATCCTGCTCCCCTGTCCGCTTCTGCACTTGGGGTCTAACGGGGCCTCAGCAGAACACGGAGTTCCTCCTGCCCTGACATCATAGCCCCCACCTGGGAGGCCTCCTGGATGACTCCTCTCGCCTTCTCCCTTCCCTGGGAGCAGCCCCTGGCTCAACCTCCACCTCCATGCTGCCTCGGACCACCTGCCCCGTCCAGCTGCCATCACCTGCCAGGTGACCACAGCAGCCTTCACTCATCCCCAACTGCTCCACCTTCCACTGCCGCCCCCATCCCCCATCCCAGTCTCCCCCAGCAGCCAGAGAGAGGTCCTTCTGAAGGGTGATGTGGACCAGAACACTGCTTTGCTAAAGAGCTCCGACAGCCTATTGGGTTACTGGAAATAAAATCCACCTTCATTCGGACCCCCAGGCCCTAGGGGAGCCGGCCCTGCCCAGCCTGGTGTCACCTCCCTCTGCCCTCCTCCTACTCACTGCACGCAGCCCCTCCTCCCTGCTGACCTTGAACCTGCCACGCTCACTCCTGTCTTAGGGCCTTGGAATTGCTCCTTCTGCTGGAACATTCCTCCTCCAGCTGCTAACTGGTCCCCTCCTTCTGTGGAGAGGCCAGGCCCACTCTCTCTCCACTGATGAGGCAGCCGCTCTGCTCTTTCTCACAGGAGGTGTCAGCTCCACGGTTGGTTTGGTTTGGACAAACCGACAAACTGACAGCCTCCCCTAGAGCGCAGCACCTGTTTGCTGCCCAGCAGGTTGTGGGCACTCACTTTAGTTGAGCCCCTGAGCGGCAGGGGCAAGGGCAGAGAGGATGGAGTCCGGGAGCTGCAGGTGCAGTCACCTTCCCGTGTGCCTCCCACACATGCAGCTGTGAGAACCACACAGCATAAAGGGTGGCTGGGCTGGGCCGCCCCACGCGTCCTCATCACCCCTGGGCCTTTCCAAGGAGGTGGCTCCAGGTATCCAGCAAATGCCATTTGACTGCCCAGAAAGGAAGCATTATCATAGGCTCAGAGCAGCTTTTAGTAATTTCTTTCCTCTCACACCAAGGCATTGCATGCACACGTGTGTGTGTGTGTGTGTGTGTGTGTGTGTTTTAATTTTTATTTTAGAGACAGGGTTTCGCCATGTTGCCCAGGCTTGTCTTGAACTTCTGGGCTCATGTGCTGCGATTACAGGATAAGCCACCACACCTGATCAAGGCATCACCGTTGAACCTCCTAAGAGGAAAACATAAGGCTGTGGAATACCAGGAACTGGAATTCTAGGTAAAAAGTTCTAGAAGGAAGCCTCGGTGCCAGAATCTGCAAACACACAGAGCACTCCGCAGTGAGCAGCACCAGTGATCCCATCAGAAGCCTGCTTTCATCTTTGAAGGTTGCCCCAGACAACAAGGCATCAAAAGCCAGGGGATCCAGAGAAAACACAAATGACCAAGAGAGAAACTGGGGGAAAAGCCAAAAGGTTGAGAGCCAAACCGTCTAGATGCTTCCTGCCTGCGGTATGGCACAGGTGGGTGTGTGCACACACACGTCCCGCACACTGTACGCACATATCATAGGGGGACAGACCTGCTAGTGTACTCAGGGGCCCGTGTGTTAAGATCACACAGCCCCCACACAGTCTATTTCGTGTGCTGTGCCTCTGTCTGGGCACCACACGTAGGTGCGTTAAATGTCCCACAGGAGCATGTGCGATGCATAGAACAGGCACGTGTATACGACTGTTCAGTGTCAGTGTGGAGTGTGTCCGTGTTCGGGTGCGAGTCTATGTGTGCTAGTGTGGTTGTATGAGGACCAGTTCCTGCAGAGCTGTGGGAAGTTAGCAACGTTACTGACTGTGCAGAGAAAGCTCCCTGAGACATGGAGCAGGTGGCCTTGCTGTCCTCCCGGCTGGCTGGACCAGACCCCTCTCTGCAGGGCCCCCCACCCCAGGGGGCTGGGCAGGATGGACACGGTACTGACCAGGGACTGCAGGATGGCGTGGTTGGTGGCGTTCATGCAGGAGTCCAGCGGGAAGGAGCACTCCCCCTCACAGTAATAGGCCGAGTAGCCTTGGGGGGCGATGACCCAGTCCTAGGGGACATGGGAGAAGGTGAGTCCCATCCATGTGCCCCTCCCTGAGCCTCAGGGCTCAAACCCACCCTCCACCCCTGCAGGGCAGTCTCCCCCAAGAGGCTTGAATCCACCCAGGAACCCCCAGCAGACAAGGCTGGGCAGGAGCTCAGGCGCAACATCCCCCATCCTCACTCTGCGTCTTCTCCCCAGCCAGCCCTCCCTGCCCACGCCTCCCAGAGCTGCAGTCACAGCCCATGCAGGGAGGTCTCAGTTACCCTGTGGCAATGCTGACGGCTTAGTTGATTCAGTCTTCATTTTCATGGTTTAAAAAAAAAAACCCTTTCTCACCATATCCTTACTTTAGAAAACTTGGAAAACACAGAAGAAAAAAATACCTAAGAAAACTGAAGTCACTCATGATTCTATGTCCTCCCTACAGATTCACTTCTGATCTACAGGTGGTGATTGTCATTTCAGAAACAAGGAGAGTCAGCAATTACCAGCCAGCCAAGGTCCTGGAAGCTGACGTAGAGCTCGTGCCGACGGCAGACCTGCCGCCCGTGGGAGCCGTGGACATCATCTGCAGGGACAGAAGGGCAAGGTCTTTTCTGGGGTTCCTGCTGTGTGCAGCTACTACAGGGTACCAGGGTGGGAGATGCCCTGATGAGCACATTTGTCAAATGAATGACAGGAAACCATTTGGTCTCATAAAGCCCATCCCTGGAACTCTGCTTGTACCGTGACCCAGCTGAAGAGCCTGCCATGGCTCCCGACGGCTAGAGTGACACTGCTCAGCACTCCCCTGTCCTTCAGCCTGTGAGCGTCTGGACGCGCCAGTAAACAGCCCAGCAGGACCCTCGGCCATCCTGTGCCGCCTCCTCTCTAGAGACCCCTGTGACTCCAGCCCACCCTCTGCTGCCACACCCATTCCTCAGGTTCAAGTGGCTCATGACCAGGCCAGTCAGGGGCCGACTCCCTGGGAAGGAGGGCACAGGGTCGGGTCAGGCCTGTCCCTGATCCTGAAGGGCTTGGCCCAGTTGGGGAGAAAACTTCACATAAGCAGCCGAGGATGCTGCGGGGTGCCCAGGCACAACCGCGGGTCACGAGGGGCTGCGGCTCCCAGGGAAGGGGCAGCTGATTCTGATGGAAGCTCCTGGGAAAGACCTGGAGGAGCCAGGGGGAGAGGGGGGCCTTCTGGGTGGCAGGGACAGCCAGGACAGGCCTCTGGAGTGCCGGTCGCCAGGGTGCATCAGGGCAAAAGATGGGGTCAGGAAAGGTGGCTGGAGAGTGGCCGTCAGCTTGAACCGACCTGAGCCTGAGGGCTCTGGGCCACCGCTTGGTTCTCACCCTGCCTCTCTCAACTGGAAGCCCGCAGGGCCTCGGCCCCACCCCGCCCAGCCCTCACCAAAGATCCCTGGGAGTCGGTTGGCCTGCGGCAGCTCGTTGGTTTTCTTCGGCTGCCTCCTTCTCAGTGGCCTCACTGCCCGAGGGGTGCGGATGGGACTCGGACTGGCCCTGAAGAAAGTAACCACGAAAGGCTGTCGGGAGCGCGGGGCCCGTTGACCCAGCAGGCCGGCCAGGCCAGGATCCACGCTGTGCCCTGCGACAGAAAGGAGAGAGGGGTCACTCGCGGGCAGTGGCCCTGCAGCGGACACAGCAGGGATCTCTCTGCCGGGGCCTGGGCAGGTCCAGGAGCGTGAAGGCTGAGGACCCGAGGGTCCCTGCTGAGCCTCAGTTTCCACATCTGAAGCCTGGAGTCCTTGGTCCAGCCCCAGCCAGTCCACATCTCTCAAGTTTGAAGATTTTTCCCATGGATCACCTCATTGGGTCCTTACAGTAATCCTGCAGCTCCTTCTTCACAGGAGACCCAGAGTCCTACTGCCAGTGACTTCGAGAACCAGCGCTCCCACCTCGGTCCAAGGACCCCGAGACCTGTGTTCTGTCTTCCATCCCGCACTTTCTGGGGTGTGAATGTCGAATTTATCACCGAGACAGCTTGTGGCAGCATCTGCCAAGTTCAGCGAGTGCTTCTCTGCTGGGCACAGCCCAAAAGCAGGGCATTAACTGTCTCCCTGATGCCCGTAAGGGAGACGCCAGGCAGAGCAGAGACATTGGAACCAAGTCCCAGAGCCCAGGTTTCAGCCTGCGGCAGTCCCATTCCAGACCCCAAGTTCTTATGCACGAGCTGGGTTTATGGAGAAAAAAGAAAAGGCTGAAGCAGAGATCTGACCTGGGCCTCAGCCCCAGGAGTGAAGCCTGTAAACAGGGGATTGTCCCCCACAGCCGCTTCCAGACTGAGGATGCTGCTAAAACACATGATAACTAGCCCTTCACCAATAAAACTGCATCCTCCTGTACTTGTTTGGATTTCAATAACCTTTCTATTGTAAAAGCAGTTAACCACGATAAAGTTTTGAGAAAAAAATATCATTTTAAAGCCCTTCCAACTCCCATACATTTTCATTTTTCTGGGCTATTCTGTCAGTTTAAGTTTTACACAGTTGTCAGCCCAGCAAAGACGTCCTCATTTTTTTTTTCAGCTTTCAAGTCGCCAGGTATGGTGGCTCACACCTGGAATCCCAGCACTTTGGGAAGCTGAGACTGGAGGATGGCTTCAGCACCGGAGTTCGAAGCCCTGGAGCTCGTCATCAGATAACGCAGGTTATTTCCTGCTTTTCACGATAAAGATGGGAGTGCAATGGAGCCTCTTCACTCTGTGCATGGGTGAAATTTCCTGATACTGAATTGCAGAAGCATGATTACCAGTTCATTTTCTTGTCTCTTTAAACATTGCCAGTTCTTCAGTTTACACAAAAGCACATTTCACCTCTACTTTACAAGCACAGATGTACACATGTATGTACACACATGCATATATGTGGGTCTGTATAAACACGCAGAGGCACATACGTTTAGACACTACACATACAGATGTATTTATTCCTACATACTTCTCCAGTACACCCTGCAGGTCAAGGACAATGCCTGCCCCACCCTTAGTCCCACTCAAAGGTCAGCCCTTAAGCAGCTGTGCCTCAGTCCTGGTGTCCACTGGCCAGCTGATTGAACAACCAGTGAATCCAGAGACCAACCTTTGACCTGTGATGTCATCTGCCACAAACAGGAGCGTGGACAAGAGCTGCTGAGACAGGGAGGCTGTGAGCTGCAGGCACTGACAGCAAGGAGGCCCAGAGAGAAGCCACTGGGCAGAGCTTGGTTCACGGTGAGTCAAGGTTATGGGGAAGCAGCAGAAATACAAGGACCAGAGCCAGGGTGCAGAGGAAAAGGCAAGACAGGTCACAACGAGGAGAGAACAGAGCAGCCTGTGTGGGGTGGTGAGGGTCACCAGCCCGGGCACTGGAGTGTCACTCTGCGGACTGGCTGACACATGGGGATGACCTGGGGCCCAGGGCAGCCCTCCAGGCTGCATGTGTGGCTCTGTCCTGCGATTCCCTGGGGAGCCCTGGCAGCGTTGGGGCCAGAGGGGCCATCAGTCCTGCATGCTTTGCTCACTATTTGCTTCTGTGCAGCTGTGTTCAGGGGTCTTACGGGGGTCTCCCAGACACAGGATAGAATGTCGCATTAGATCAGTTACACCACAGACCCTCACAGAGCCCCTCTGAGCCAGGCCTGGCTTGGGTGCTGGGAACCCCTCTGTAGGTCTCACAGGCCAGGTGAGCCTGACTGGGGACTCTTGAAGTAGCTAATCCCAGGTTCCCATTTTACATTAGCAGAAACTAAGGCCCAGAGAGAGCAGCAACTGTGCAGGGTCCCAGACCAAGGTGGGTTAGAGCCAGGATTATCATATACTTTCCAAGCAAATTGCAGGGGCCTGGCTGGGTGTGGCTCGGGGAGATGGGGGTGGCAAAAGGGGACTAACAGCAGGTCTAGGTTCAGACCCCTGCATCTGGCAGGCCTGGAGAAGCTCCCCCACCCTACTCCTCTCCTTCCTTTTAGTGCTTGAGGAACACAGTGAGGAGCTGATCTGTTTTCCTGTTGTTTTTAATTAAAGTCGCGGCTCTCTGGAGGAGCACAGTCCACCTAGGGAGGAAAGTCGGAGGCCAGCAGCACACGCCTCCCAGCGCTGGGTAAATGCATTCCTGCGGTAACCGACGTGCCCTGAGGAACCCGGTGGGACCCCCTGAGGAGTGCACCCCCCCCCAGATCCGGGTCCCATCAGGGTGCCACATGCTGCATGGGCCTGAGGTTGGGGCACACAGCAAAGGCACACCCAGTGCTCTTTTTGACGTCGTCCACGGTCAGGCCCTCCCAGAGCTCCGTCAGCGTCAACCCTCTCTTCCTGTGCACGTCAAACACGGCCTTCTCGGTGATGATGCGGTCCACGCACTGCTTCCCGGTCAGTGGCATGGTGCATTTCTCCATGATCTTAGGGATGTTGTCCTTTGTGCAGTGCTCCATGGTGACCACCACTCTGGTCTTCGGACTGGACACCAAGTCCATGGCACCGCCCATGCCTTTCACCTTCTTGCCAGGGATCATCCAGTTCGCCAGGTCGCCGTATCTGGAAACCTGCATGGCTCCGAGCATGGTTAGGTGGAGGTGTCCGCCTCGGATCATGGCGAAGGAGTCGTCGCTGGCGAAGAAGCAGCCCCCGGGAAGCACCGTGACGGTCTGTTTGCCTGCATTGATGACGTCGGCATCCACCTCATCTTCCGTGGGAAACGGGCCCAGGCCCAGGATCCCGTTCTCGCTGTGAAGATGCACGGTCATGCTGGGGCTGATGAAGTTGCTGGCCAGCAGGGGGATGCCTATGCCCAGATTGGCGTACATGCCGTCCTCAAACTCCAGAGCTGCGCGTCTGATGATGCGCGTCCTGGCGTCCTCTTTGTTTTCGGCGTCTCCATCTTCCTCTTTCCGGATCGTCAAACGCTCAATTCGTTTCTCGTATTTCTGCCCCTTTATCACACGATCTACATAAATGTTTGGAACGTGGATGTCTTCTGGGGGAAAAGTCCCCACGTCCACGATCTCTTCCACCTCCACCGCCGTGACGTCTGCAGCTTTGCACATGGGCACGTTGAAATTGCGGGCGCTCCCCCTGAAGACCACGTTTCCTGCCCGGTCGGCCTTCCACCCTTTCACCAGGGCGAAGTCCGCCCGGATGGCGCGCTCCAAAAGGAAGTGGTCGCCTTGGAACTCCCTCACCTCTCGGGGCTGGCTCATGATAGCCCCGTGGCCGTCCGGGGTGTAGCGGATGGGGGCGCCCCCTTCCTGGACCAGGGTCCCGTAGCCCGTGGGGGTGTAGAAGGCGGGTACCCCGGCGCCCCCCGCGCGGATGCGCTCAGCCAGGGTGCCCTGGGGTGTGAGCTCCAGCTCCAGCTCTCCTGCCAGGTACTGGCTCTCGCACAGCGTGTTCTCACCCACGTAGGAACAGACGATGCGGCGGATCTGCTTGGAGGCCATCAGGAGGCCCAGGCCGAAGTCCTCCACGCCCACGTTGCTGCTGACCACCTGCAAGTCCTTCACGCCGGTCCTGAGCAGCGCGGCGATCAGGTTCTCGGGGATCCCGCAGAGCCCGAAGCCCCCGACCATGATGGTCGCCCCGTCAGAGATGTCCTTCACCATCTCCACCGGGTCCGTGTAGAACTTGGCGCGGGGCCGGGGACTGGTGGCAAAGCGGCGGGCGCAGCCCTGGGACAGCGCGAGCCCTGAGCGCGCGGCGGAACGCCGCGCCCGAACGCGCCGACCCAGAGCCGCAAGCCCCGCCATGGGGTCTGCCGGGTCAGAGCCCAGAAAGCGCGGTGTGCGCCCCGCGTGCGCCGGCGCGCAACAGAGCAGGAGCACCCACGCCCTGAACCCACTCCCCGCAGCAGGGTTCTCCCCCGCCATGCGCAGGCTCTAAGGCCAGGCCCGCGAACCTACCAACAGGGAGGGGGCCGCCCGCTCCGCCTGGCTGGGAGCCCCCGTGTCCAGTTCCCGTTGCCCAGCGCAACAGGCCCGGTGCAAGGTCCAGAGTTGGTCAAGCCGCGTGGAGGCCAACCGGCCGATCCCCTTATGCCCCAGTGGAGCCCCAGGCACAAACTCCCAAACGCCCGCCCAAGCGCCAGCATTCCAAGCTCATAGAGCAGCAAATATCAATGAGCCAGCGGCTCGCGTCGGTGCACCGAACGTCATGACCACCTCACTGGGCCACCACCCTGTGCCAGCCCTCTCTTTTTCACAACGAGAGTGAAGTGCCACCACAGTACCCCGCCCACGAGCCTCAGTTCACCTCAGCCGTGAGTCGCGACACTATCCCTCCACTTCCATCAGAAGGTCCCGCCTCTGAAAGAGGCCCAGCCTTGTCCTCTGCATCCCCCTGCCCTCTCCACCTCCCCACTCCAGCTCCTGCCTCCAACTGTCGGATTTGCCAGTTTTTCCTTCCCTTTCTGCACAGAATCACCCATCCCACCACAGCAGGTGCAAAGCCCTCCCTCTCACCTGTAAAGACCTGCCCTTGTCCCGGGTTCTCTTCCAGCCCCAGCGCCCATGTCTCTCGCCCCAATTCACCAGCAAAGGTTCTGAAAAGACTGCTCCTGCACTCCACTGCCTGTTCCCTCCACCTCCCCAGTCAAGACCACACTCCACGGAGATTTGGGCCATCAGCAACCTCTGTGATGGCAAAAACCCTCCGGTCACTTTCTCTGTTCTTGCCTCCAGTGCCCACAAG